GAGCGGGGTCTTTCTGCTGCTGCCCCCCGCACCCGATAGCGGATAAGCCGGCCGGACGGACAATTTATATTGTTAATTATGGAGTGTGATTTATTTTCAACTCAAAATATCTTCAAACTAACGAAATATAAAGTTATTAGGGAGGAAAACCCGCCTGGATAACAGCAGACTGACTGCTCGTAAAATATAAGACAGGTCTGGACCACTCGTAAATTTTGTTTGTATCTGAAAGAAATCTTAGAATACGAAAACATTGGTGAATGTCACAAATTCTCCTAAATCACTCGTACGCACAACTTAAGAACAAATCTGTGCGTACGAACGGTTCTTGCATGAGGCCCAATGCTGCTAACATGAAAAAGGCTATGGATCAGCTGCAAGTGCCAAGCTTAGGATGTTTTGCGCACAGCCTTCAGGTTGTGGTCCATGAAGGTGTGTTGTCACAGCGAGCTGTAAGTGATGCTCTAGCCAACGGGAGAAAATTAGTGGGCCACTTTAAACATTCCCCCAAGGCTTATTCAAACCTTGAAGACATACAAATAGAACTGAACATCCCACCAAAACGTYTTCAGCAGGATGTCCAGACAAGATGGAGCATCACCAAGTACATGATTGACAGCCTCATTCATCAGAAACAGTCCCTGCATGCCTACTCATCTGAAGAAAACAACACCCTGCCAGCCATTTTAACAGCAAACCAGTGGGGGCTGTTAGAGAAGACCTCAAAAGTTCTGACCCCATTTGAAGAGCTAACAACTAATGTCAGCGCTGCCTCTTCTACTGCAGCTGATGTCATCCCCTCAATCCATGTCCTGATACGGTTTCTCAGTAAAGAGAGTGAAGATGATCAGGGGATCCAAACGATGAAAACCACTCTTCTGGATGCAGTCCGCAGACGTTTCAAGCACATAGAATCTGAGCCCCTCTACACTGTGGCAACGCTGCTGGATCCACGTTATAAAGACAAGTAAGGGAATTTATTTTAAATTGTTACATTTATTTTGCCTAACCTGGTGTGTATGCGAAAAATTGTACTGTTTACAATGACTTTATTTTAGCATATGTGATTGTGTTAAGACTGCTTGTCAATATATACAAGACAGTGAAATGAGTCCTCTCCACTTCAGTGATGTCAAACACATCACATATATCATACATSCTAAAATATATTATTTATAWCCSGTCAATAGAAACAAATAATTTWRAAAAGTTGCTTCAAGAAATTGTTACTGAATCTCCATTTACATTATCATGACTATGTGTGTTACTTTCTATGAGCCCAAGTGAGTGGGGAATGTGTGTGAAAGCTCGGAAATATACAATCTGACATAATTTTATATATTTTTTATTTATGCCAGGTACTTCACCAATGCAGAAAACCTGGGAAATGCAAAGACAGCTTTAAAGGCAGCTGTGTTGAAAACAGAAGGACAGCTGAAGACCACCACACCTCCAGCTGATGAAACTGTGTCACTGAAGAAGACTCCACGGACGGAGGGTGCAAGCAGCAGCCTTGGCAGCATCTTCGATGAGATACTGGAGGAGAGCAGCACAGCAGCAGGTCCTTCTGAGCAGATCACCC